TATATTATGTTGTGATAAAATGAAATGAAAATGCAAATTTTGATTTAAACGCCTTTATGATACCACTAGACTAGGTTGTAAATTATTAAATATAATTACCTATATATTTTACATGGATTTTTTTGTTTTAAGTTTTCGCTTTGTTAAGTTTATAAATAAATTATAATTTGAAGTTTTATTACCACTATTCACATTTTTTCGTATTAAAATATTTATTAGGTTATGTTTATTAATCATTATCCATTTAAATATGTGCGCTTGGTATATTAGTTAATGTTATTGGTTTAATGCATGTGATAGAATTACACAGAAATACACCATAAGGTGTGAATGTTGACTAAAAACGTATAATGTATTATAATATTCTCAAATGCTCGATACCCTTTGATCTTGAATAAGATTTTAATTTAAATCTTTTGTTCTAACTATTATTCTACATTGTTTTTATTGTGAGTTATTCTGAAACGAACTATTCGTCATTGGGCTGTACATGTTTATCATCAAGTCCAATGTCTATTTATCTATCTAGCACGTAGGAAATAAAAAAAATATCAGTGATAATTAACCACAGTATACATTTATTATTTATTGAAACATGACTGCTAGTAATGTTGTAAAGAAACGACGTTCTATATTAATTATATTTTAATACTGAAAATGAATTAAGACTACAAATTGCAATATTCCGGGTATTCGTGTAAGTGTTATAGTGTTGTGTTTTACGTGAAATATCTTTCCTAGTACAAAGTTATACATACGCCGTAGAAAATTAGGATTATTCAAAATGTTGCAAGGAACGTGTGAAAAATCAAACGATTTGAAAATGAACGCCGCAAGTGGTGGATGGTCGGCTGTAAAGTTACTCGAAAAGCTGAAATTCTGCAATAGTGGTATCATAAAAATCGGGACTTTAGAACGCGAGCGTTCGTCGACCAAAAAACAAGAGCTCTATAAAACCAGCAGCAATTCGATACCTTCKGGGTTTGTGTTCCTGGTCGTGTTGATCGGCCTAAGTGGGATATTCACGATAATCATGTGGTTCACGGAGTTTTACATGTTCCAAATCTTACAGTTTGTTACCATAACGCAGAGTAGTTCTTCATACAACATGTGGCAAAACTCGCCCGTCAAGCCGTACGTATCGATATATCCTTTCAACTATACCAACATCAAGCGGGTGTTGAAGTACGGCGATACGCCTATAGTCCAAGAATTAGGGCCGTTCGTCTACAGTGAGACGGTCGAACGGATTAACGTGGTGTTCAACGCTAACGGTACGGTCACATACCAGGAACGTCGGAGTAACGAGTTTGTGCCGGAGATGTCGCAAGGGGACCCGGAACGATTGTTCATAACCGTTCCGAACTTGCCGCTAATCAGCGCCATATCGAAGAGCGCCGACACGTTTTACCTCACTCAAAAGTTCATGTCATTGTTTTTGGACGGRTTCAAGGTGAAACCGTTCCTGGACCTAAAGATTGACGACTACTTTTGGGGCTACGAGGACAGCATATACACCCTGGCCCAGGGTTTGGCGTCGACGGTGCACAGGGACGCCCAGCTGTCGAAGTTCGGTATAATTACCGGGCGGCGCGGCGTGTCACCCGACCGGATCACCATCCACAGCGGCGTCGGCAACCTGAACGAGCTCGGCGTCATCACCCGCTACAACGGGCTGGACGCACTGGACGTGTGGAAGACAGACGAGTGCAATCGGTTGGACGGCAGCGACGGTTCCCAGTTTCCACCCACCACGTTGAGTCGTAAATCAAAACTGTTCGTGTTTCACATGGATTTATGCCGTCGATTCCCGTTGGTCTATAAGGAAGACATCGAAACGGTGCCCGGGGTGACGGCATTCCGTTTCCAGGCGCCCAGGAACGTGTTCGATACACCCAACACAAACCCGGATAACGACTGTTATTACACCTCGGAAACTTTTCCTCCATCGGGAGTGTTCAATTCATCGCCGTGCAACGGTGCTCCAGTAATGATGTCGTTCCCGCATTTCTATCTGGGCGACCCGGAACTGAGAAGAGACATTCTCGGGCTGTCACCAGATCCTGAGCTACACGAGACTTTTATTGATATTCATTCGAAGTTGGGATTGTCCTTGGGAGGCCGTTCAAGGTTTCAAATCAATATTATGTTGAAGAAAGCYGATGGGATATCGCATTTCAAAAATTTCAAACAGGGAATAATATTGCCAGTAGCATGGATAGAAGTGAAAGTTGACAAGCTTCCTGACGACATAAAGAGAACTCTTCAACAAACTTCTATTAGTATCAACCTCGGTGAGATATTGTTGAAGTGGACGTCATTATTGACACTCACACTGTCAATGGTTTTTTTGGTCAGAAAAATCATATTAAAAGATTGTTTTATGTTTAATGAGAAACAAATTTTACCTATGAATAAATAATTGTTCTGTTCTAAATAAAATATGTATTATCTACTATAATTTGTATATTATTTTTGAATGTCAATGCATTAATTGTTTACATTTTACATAATTGTGTAATATATTGTTTACATATTATGTAGTTAATTATGTGATACTTCAAACTGTGCTATGACTTTGATCTTTTTATTTTATAATAATGTAAAAACTGTTTTATTTTTTATCTTTGTATTTTTGAAATGTGTTTTTTTGCATTGAATTTGTTGTTTTAAATTGTTATATTTTTTTTAACCTTAGATCAAATTGATTATAAATAATATAGCAACTAATAATTTATAAATAAATATTAAAATA